GTTATTTCTCAGTCTGATGTAACTTTCAAGTGAAAGAATTGATGTGTGTGAGGTGGAAAAACTCTTCAATGGAGATGGGAGTTTCCGGGTGTTAGTCGATCGGGGATATAGCCCTAACGAAAACAAAGGAAAGAACGTAGATTTGTTACATTAATGTGGCCCTCAATAACTGAGCAGCTTCTTCATCAAACGGCCACTAGTTTTCAATGTGAATTGCTCGGAATTACCTAGTCCTAGCGAGTACTCGAATCTCACCGGAAGGGCTTAAAATACCAATCTCTTTACTGAGTACCGTAAGAGACGACGCCAAAGAACGCCAGATGAATAAACGCGATCAGAAGAATAGCGCCTGAGAATCCCCATAATATCAACCCAACAAATATCGATCCGCATGCACACCCAGCATGTCCGAATTGGGAAGGCGAATGGTACCGGCGGCGTTCCTGAGGGAGCGGGACCCAGCTGTTAACGCGAGCGCCCTCATTCTCACCAGCGTCTCGCCGGCTGAAAAAGGCCCGATTAGCATCAAGAGGGGCGTTTGGTGGCGACGATTTTGCGCGGCAGGCCGAAACGTCCCCGATTCCGTCCTACCGCGCGCGACGCACGCTTCGCTTCCTTTTTTAAGCGACGCACACCGGGCAGCGGGTGCGGGAGGAGGGTGAGGGAGGGGGGTGAGGGAGGGGGGGAGTTTCGAAGTCAGCGCGCGTCGCGGCGATTAGCGGCGCAAATCGACGCGCCGAGACGCGCGGCGGCGGAAACGTAGGGGAGAAAAAGAAGGGGAAGGAGCAAGGCGGGAAGACGGAAAAAAAGGGCGGGGGGTGAAGTACAGGGGAAAACACATGAAGGCTACTCGGCGGAAGGTTTAATGTACGAGGGCCAAGACGTTTACTTGTATTTTCCGCGAGTTTGATACTTATTTACTGAGTAGTAAATATGTCATGTTGAACTCGTATTAAAATATTGTTAGAGATTCTTAAGGATGGTGATCATAGATAAATAGGAGATTCTAGATAAATGAAGCGGAGAAGAAAAAAAACAGTCTTTTTATTGGCCTACCCTTACGATTATCCAGAAATGTAATAAATAAGCCGTTTCGTTTGTATACAGATGTAAGAATTTCCAACTTCGTTGCATCCTTAGCACGAACAGTTCATGGCACTTCTTGGAATCATCATTCGAACAAACGTAAGCGTTTAACTTAGGTCCTTTTCGTTTAAACTTTGAATCATCACACAGCTTTTAGTTTAGTTTTCCAACCCTTTGTTTGATTTGTGTACTGCACTATTACACCCGGACTTCCGGGTAAACTGTTCCGCGAAACAAAAGTGTACCGCGGTATTTAAATAAGAATTCCGCCAAAATGTGGAGTGATTCTATCTATATTATAGATATTAATAGCACATTGTACCATGTTATCAGTTCGTAATACAAAACTCCGTTTGCATCAAATGAGATAAAAGAGGATGTATTTCGCGATTTTTTTGTCGCCCGGTACATTGAAAGTAATCGTGAATGATGATTTTACCTGATCGACAAGTTTTGCCAGGCAAAACGGGCATGTTTCATTCCCGTCAAGGTACATACAGCTTATCGGAATATCAGCGCGTGGGTGTAACAGAACGGGTATCCACAGATATCTGGGCATTCTAATGTCAGTCAGTGGGCATCTACACTACATGACAACAGATTGTCCTCTCCGACAATCGCTCTCTCCCCAACTTGGACACGGCTACTCTTGTTCTCAAACCAACTCGATCACAGCTATCCATACTGTCCTCGGCTTGAATTTTCGATTCTAGTCGATATGCAAGCCCGTGTTATTGTTTTTAACCTTTGGTCAAATTTGATCGATTTTGAAATGGTTATGTTGATAGGTCTACGTTATTAGGTCTAAAATGTTCCGTTAAATTTACGAATATGCGAAAAAGTTTGCAGTTTTCTTTATTTGCATAATATTTTTGGAAAACTTCGCTTTACACCAACACGGTATTAAGATTGTTTGCTGAATTTTCACGCCTGCTGTTGGCATATAATAAACTGGTAGTGAAATGTTCGACAAAGAAAATTTTAAAAGTTTGTTCTC